CAATGAGCGTGGCCACCTGCTGGGCAAGCGGCCCCCTTGGCCTTGGCTCTGCTGTCTCCTCTCGGTTCGCGTTTGCTCGGGCCGGCAGAAGAGTGCTTACAAGCTGTGCGAAGATCCCGGCCGCCTGCCGCTTCTGCACCGCGTGCCGGAGCTTGAGCTGCTTCTGGGCGCTGTGCTCGTGGGAGGCCCCGCGGATCATGCATATTCTATGAGGGGCGGGTCCCGAGGCCCCGCGGATCATGCATATTCTATGAGGGCGCGGGTCTCGAGACCCAGAAGTTCGTGCGTATTCTATGAGGCCACGAAATTCGTGCATATTCTGCGAGGGGAGGGCCCTGAGGTGTCTGCCTGCTCCGGTCCTCTGCCCGGCTGTCCCTGCCCAGACATCTCTGGGCGTCCTAACCTTGCCCACCGAGCCCGGGGCCTGGGGACGGAGCTGCTGCGTGCCCAGAGGACACGGTGGCCGGACGAGGGCAGGACGGGTCCTGGTGTCTGTCCCTTAGCCTCCGAGGATGGAGCCCGAGCCTCCCCGTGGGGAAGGACTAGGTGAAGAGGGGTCAGGCCGGCAGCACAGACACCCAGGCCGGGTCCTTAGTACCCCGTGCTACAACGATTCACGAGGAGGCTGGCGCCGGGTTCATCTTGTTCATGCAGTAATCTATTTATATTTGCAGTAATCCTAAGTGGCAGCGACTGTTGTCACCATCATTTTAAGGGCTGAGAGGGACGAGTGAGAAGGGTAGAGTGCAGCCTCAGTGCACTCAGTGACAGACACAGCATTTGGAGACAGGAAAGCGCCCTCCTTATTCGGCGATGAAAAGTGCAAAGCCAGTCTTAGTCTAGGATCTGGTAGGAGCTCAAGGTACCTTTACAAAACAGATTTTTCAGCACTGGTGGGGATCAAACCTGGGGCCTCATGCATGTTGGGCAAGGGCTCCACCGCTGAGCTGCATCCTTGGCCCCCAAACGGCTGCTTTTTAAACAGTTATCTGGCCTCTTGGTATTCTAGTCTGTGAAACTGATCTTTTGTACTTTGAACCACTGGATCGGGATCTAGAATGCTAGTTGTCTTCTCAGGAGCAGCGAAGGAAGCCACGGGTAACTCAGCTCTGGCAGCCGAGGCAGCGCAAGCACCTGTTGCTAGGCAACCCCAGCAAACCATCATCTGCTCCCGGGTCTGCTACGAGTCCACCCGCAGGCACTCAGGGCTCGCCTTGAGCAGCACCGGCCAGCAGAGGGCGCAGGCCAACAGGATGGGCAGCGACCCCTCCCAGAGCAGGCCGCAGGGCCCGGTCTCTTCTAGGAGAATATACAAGGCACAAAATATGGGGTAAAGAGACAGAGAAAGGTGAGAAACAAAGCGGTGCATTTCCTACTTCTGCTGATGTTTAAGACACAGAAGGTAACAGGGAGGCTTAGTGCATTTGAAAGCTTACTTATTTAAATCTTTTATATTTAGTTTTGTGAATTTTGAATAATGATTTAAAATGTTGATTGAAGATGGCAAACGTCGACAAAGATGGAACCTGCTCTGCCCAGGGTAAGGTAGAAGGAAGTGGGGCTCCCCTGCAAGGAAGCACCCTAGGGAGGTTTAGTCAGCAGCTGGATGAGAAACCTCAGAGCAGCACCTAGCAGGCTTGAAAAATCGCCATAGTGAGGCATCACAAGGGGGTGGATGCACTAAATCCTACAGACAAATTACTACACAGTCTCTCTGCAGTCCTATACCTAACGGTCATCACAGACCAAAGCTGCACAGGCATGTAGAATTCTGGCACCGCACCTCAGAAGTTTTCAAGGAAGAATAGGAGAGCTCTGAGAAGGACATCAGGGCCAGGATGGAGTCCCCAGCTCCCAGCAGCAGGCAGGACCAGCAGTTGCTCACTCGTTCCTTCCCGAGTGTCCCCGTGGAAACACCCTGTGTGCATCATCTACTTTTACCAGAGCACTCCACGCCTGAACTGTAAGGCACTCAGAAAACACGGTGGTACCTTTCCTACATTATTACCGAAAAGCAGGGACATAGTCTCCCTTTGCCCTTTCTGTAATATTCTGTGGTCAGAGAGCTCAGAATTTATTGAAATAATGTATCTCCTTTTTATCCAACCCAAGTGACAGCTAGAAGTAGCTAGAATACCGGCACCATCCTGACCAAGCTTTAAATGCCAAACAACAGAGATGGCAGGAAAAGTGTGTTCAGTGTCCCTGGCCCCACCTGTGCCCAAAACCTAGGGCTGAAATATCCCCACCAGGGTGCTCGCCGTCACAGATGGTGGTTTAGTTACCATGCTGTACGGTAGGAAGCCAGAGACACTCTGAAAAGCAAAACCAACACAATAAAATACCCCAGAGAGCATAACAGAGGGAGGTGAGCAGAATGAAACCAACACAGCTTTACAGTTCAGAAAAAATCTGTGCAAGGGCTCTGGGAGGCTGAGACAGGAAGATTGAGAGCTCAGGTCCAGCCTGGGCACCTTAGCAAGGCCCTATCTCAAAATAAAAACTAATAAATCCTCAGGCCCAGTGTGAAAGCTCTAGCTCAACCCCTAGTTAAAAAAAGAAAGAATGAGTATATGGGAGCTACCAGCCTAGCTCCAGCTCTCAGGCTGAGCGCTGTCTGACTCAGGGCCCTCCGTGGGCCAGGTGTTGGCCTTGAAGGCCCAGCCCCCAGCGGAGCTCAGTGGAGCTGACTCTGCAGTCACTGGGGATGTGCTCTGGGAGGGGCAGTGAGCCTTGGCCTCTTCTTCTTCCGCCCTTGCACCCAGGCCACGAGGCTACTTTCTGTGCACCAACATCGCCATGTGCTTCCTGGCCCTGGGGACAGCTGTCCTTCTGTTCAGCAAACTCCATGGCAGTGAGCTGCCGGGAAAGCTGGCTGACAGCACCCACATTCATGGGACTGAGCATGGGCTGGTCCCTGCAGCTGACACTGTCCACAGAGGGGTCCCGACCTGGATAAGAACGCCGCGAGACCGATGTCTCCCATTCCCGAACGGCTGGACAATTGAGAACAGATACAGGTTGAGCATCCCTAGTCCCAAATCCCAAGTCGGAAATACTTCTCCATCCACTGCCTTTGGATGCTGACCTGAGCAGGGACACCGAGGACCAGGTGGGTGGACCCACATCCACTGTCCCTGGGGTTACCGGGGACCGTCGCTTGTCCCTTTCTGATCCTGGACTATGCAGCAATCCACGGTGGAGGGGGACCGAGGTGTGTCGTGGCCCGGGATCCCGAGGCGGAGGCCCTTGGGAGAGCGACAGAGGGCTGCCACCGTCCCTGAGGTCACTAGAGGCTCCTGGCCATGCAGCAGCTGAGACAACTGCTCTGGGGTCTCAACCTGACCAGAGCAGATCCAGGGTCCTCTCTTAAATAAAAAAAATTCCCCTTATCTTTCTTTTTGCTGTTTTGCTTGTATATTGGTAATTTCTCCTACAAAATAAGGTGTGGGCTTCTATATGGGTCCTTGTGGGTGCCATCTGGATTAGCTTTTGGCTGCAGCTTGCAACACTGAGCCAGTCTCTTCCCACACCGAGGTCCCCTCCTCAGGGACCCCTGACCTGGCTCTCCATTCAGCAGCAGCAGAACCTCTCCTCTCACCTCCATCCAGATTCGCCTCCTTTCCTCACTTTTCCCCACCCATTCAGTACCTTCTTTTAGCTCTCTGCTCCCTCCCCTCTTTCTCTTTGCTCTATATAGTTTCCTTCCCTCTTTCTCTATTAGTATGAATCTGAATGTTATTACTGTTTCCTTTTCTAGTCTCTTTCGAGGCTAGCACAACAGTGGAGCTCTTTCTGAACACATTCTCAGTTACCTGATCCCATGCGGTTAGCTTCTCAAGTGCTGACCTTACCAGAAGTTACTCTCACTCTCACAGCCTTGCTAGGGGCTGAACCCTGCCTCCAGGACAAGCCCAGTGGAAGCCTCCACATGGAGACACAGCCACAGCAGGACACATCCTGTGGAGGAAGCCACTTAGCCCCCTATGACACGGGGAGTCATCCTGCCCACCTGACCTCAAAGCTCAACACAGAAACACATTTAGAGTGAGACACAGGTCAACAAGGTATCTCCAGAAATACAGCACTCCATAAAGAGCCGATTCCACATGCATTGAAGTAGATGAAATTCCAAAGTAAAAAAACCTGATCGCTGAGATGATCATAGAGCTCAACGAAGACACAATAAACAGCCGAATGAGTCAAGGAAGACAGTAAGGGTATGAAGAGTCTTCTTCACTTCAGAGACAGGGATCCCAAAAAAGAACCAAGCAGAAATTCTGGAGACGAAATCTGCAATAAGTCAAATAAACAATGGGAAGAAAAGTCCTGGTGGTAGACAAGACCACCAGAAGAAAGCATATCAGGACTTAAAAGATAAGGAGGAGGTACCAGAACAGTCAGATGATGAAAAAGAAGAAGGAGGAAGAGATTATTTGACAGATCTGGATAAAGAAAGCTAAAAGAAAAAAATTTAAGGCTCACTGGCCTAGAAGAGGGTGTAGAAATACAGACGGATGTCAAAAAATCTAGTCACCGCCCTTGGTGTGGAAAACTTCCCAAGCTGAGGAATGAGAATACCTGAGCTAAGGGAGCATTTACAGCCCAAGAGACACAGAAGAGACCCTCTCCACACCGCATCAGTAAAAATGCAGAGACCCAGAGCAAAGGAAGGAGACTGAGAAGTCAGAGTGCACATCACGCCCAAGTGCAAACCCCTCAGGATAACAGCAGATTTCCCAACAGAAACCTTGACGGCCAAGAGGTCTTGGGATAGAGCTTTTCAAGCCCTGAAAGAATATAACTGCCAATTAGATTACCATCGAGGCTGTCTTGCAGAGTTGAAGAAGAAATAAACACTTTCCATGAGAAACACAGATTTAAGAAATTCACAACCACCACCAAGCCAGCACTGCAGGAAACAGGGAAGGGAATCCTTACAAAGACAAGGGTGGCAACAACTATGAGGCAGAGAGAAAGAGCAAACCTCACAGGACAGCAGTTATCGAATGAGAAATGGCAATGAATCAAATACCAGGAGAACAGCAACACGAGGCAGATCTTTAGCACTAACACTCAGGGTGAGTGGTTTTAGCTCTCCAGTGTAAAGACACAGACCGGCAGCACGCAACATATCTCAGGCCACAGACCAGAGGTGAGGGTGGGAAACAGCCCTCGGGGAGGCTGGAAACCCATAGC